GGATGGTAGAGTGTGGGTAAAGAGGCTGAAGGAATGGAGGAATCGTGTGAAGCCAGGAGACCCACCCGAGGATTATGTTCCACAAGAGGACCCAGAAGACACACTTTTCACAGAAGCCATCCAGAAGGTGATTGTACGAGGGCTTGCATAACTAAGGAGTTTGGGGGTGTTGTGTCTTCTGCAGGCTGGGATGACAGTGGGAGAGGGGGTCCTAAAGTTGACTCATTAGTGTCCATGGGGAGGGTATGGCCCTGAAGAGATAGAGGCCAAGGAGTGACAGTTAACCTGTGAAAGCCAGAGGCCAAAATGATTATAACAACTCTAAAGGAGCAGAGACCGCTATCTGGTGCTGTGTTCCCGTTGGGAAAAATAAGTGGGTCCAGGACCAAGGAGTGTGGCTCTTAAATTTCCATCATGGGGGATCATCCACTGAAGGGTTTTGCACTTTCTGTCCCCACAATTCTGGAGTCTGTAAAGTGGGAGGTCCTGGTTCCCAAAAGGGAGATGTTCTTACAAGGGGACATGATGAGGGTCCCATTGTCCTATACAGTATGGTTGTCTCCAGGGTACTTTGGACTCCATACTCCCAGACCAGCAGATGAGAGGAGCCCCGTCTTCTTGAGGTAGGAGTAGTTGACCCTCATCTGCATGATGGGGAGGGGCTGGTGTCCCATAATAGGGGCAGGAAGAATATATATTTTTTAAGATTTTATTTATTTATTTGACAGAGAGAGAGAGAGAGATCACAAACAGGGGGAGCAGGAGAGGGAGAAGCAGGCTCCCCACTGAGCAGGGAGCCTGATGCGGGGCTCGATCCCAGGACACTGGGATCATGACCCGAGCCGAAGGCAGACCCTTAATGACTGAGCCACCCAGGTTGGGGGCAGGAGGAATATGTGTGGAATCCTGAAAGACTTGGGTGTCTCCTGGTTCCCCCTTGTTCCACTGCAACTGTGAATGGATACACAGAGCAATCAAAGAAAGAAGGGTTTGATTTCTGGTGGCCCAGATTCCTTAGGTGTAAGGTTTAAGTCACATTCCCCAAGTCAGCTACAAGGACACCTACTCCTGTGCCCTAAAATCTCCAAAGCATTTGTGCAGAGGTCTTGTGTCTCATGGGCTATTCCCAGCCAACGACTGGTCCCAGAGGGACACTAAGGCAGACTTACTTCCGAGACACAAGGGGCTGCTCCTGTGCTTGAGGACTCCCTACTATGTGCCAGGAACAGGTTTATTTCTTAGGAATACAACTGACAAAAATAGCCCAAAGCCCCTGTGCTCATGTGCCTTACATTCTAGAGGCTTCCCAAGAGTGAGATGGAGCTGTTGGAGCATTTTCAGTGAAGACATGACCCGACCTGACGCACATCAACAGGATCGCTGGCGCCTGTGAGGAGAAGGCCCTGGGTGGCAGGTGATCGGGTGGTACCAGGGCCCCAGTTCAGGAGCGCGAGGTGGTGGAGACGAAGGAGGGGAGTGCGCCCAAGGGATGAGGGAGACACAGAAAGGGCTGGAGATGCAGGATGAGGAAGAGAAGCAGAGGGAACGAATTCTAAAGCAGTGTAGTTCTCAGATTTAAATATGTTGTTATATAGATTTTTTATTAAATCTATATCTACAGGTCTTACCAAGATATTCTTGCATCTAGTATTTACTATATTCTGTGGGGCTGCTTGAAAACCAATTGCCTCCTTATGTGAATCAGTTTAACATGTGTCTAGATAAAATATAAAATGTGTCTGGATAAAATATGTGTTTAGATAAAATACACACACTGCTTAGATGTGAATAATGCACACAAATCGGCGATGCAGGGGCACTGGTGAAGGGCATTTTGATTGCATGGAACATTGCAACTTTGAGGTTCTTCAAGTTTGTAACATACTCCTGGTTGAAATACTTAGTATCAAACTGTGCTTCCGTGTGCTTCCATGTATTGAGGATATGAGTGGAACTCACACAAACTTAGGGCTATGGAATGAAGATTGTTTTTAGAAACAAAGAAGAGGATCGTAGGGGAAGGGAGGGAAAAATAAAATAAGATGGAATCAGAGAGGGAGACAATCCATAAGAGACTTTCATAGGAAACAAACTGAGGGTTGCTGGAGGGGAGGTGGGTGGAGGGATGGGGTAACTGGGTGATGGACATTAAGGAGGGCACAGGATGTAATGAGCACTGGGTGTTATACACAACTGAGGAATCATTGAACTCTATCTCTGCAACTAATAATATACTATATGTTAATTAATTAAATTTAAATGAAACAATAACAATTAAAAAAGAAAAGAAAATATGATAGCTCGACCTGCTGGTGCTTACTAGCACCTGTGAGGAATTGGAGCTAAATTATCTCACCTCTGTGAGACAAAAGCTCAGAGCTTTGTGGAAAATAGAAAACAAGTACCTACAAAGCTTTAATATAAGGTAAGAAGGTGCCTGAGAACTCGGAGGGATTCCTTCCAGCTGGAAGTGCCATTTGGAGGTGAACCTTGAAGAAGAGTAGAACTGGGGTGTGTGGATGAGGGGGCTGGAGGATGAGCTGAGTGGAGAAGCAGACATACGGAACTCCCAAGAATATCCAATTATTAAGCCAGTGTGTGCAGACAGCTGGTGGAAGGTAAGCTTTGAAAGGGAATTTGGGGGCTGTTTGTAGGGAGCTAGGAATATGAAACTAAAAAGTTTGAGCTTTAATTGGAGCCATGAGAGTTGTGTTTTTGTTTTTGTTGCAAGAGCTTTTTAAAATTAATGTTTTTTACTTTGAGCTAATTGAAGACTCACATGCAATTATAAGAAATAATAGAGATCCTGAGTAACTTTTACTCAACTGTAGTCAGTATTAGAACTAAGATATTAACATTGATACAATCCACTGCTCTTATTCAGGTTTCCCCAGTGTTACTTGTACTCATCTGGGTATGTGTTTAATTCTGTGGAATCTTATCATATATATAGGTTTGTATATCCATAAACACAGTCAAGATATAGCCCAAAGATTTTCTAATAATTTTTTAAAGATTTTATTTATTTATTTATTTATTTATTTATTTATTTATTTATTTGACAGAGAGAGAGACAGCAAGAGAGGGAACACAAGCAGGGGGAGCAGGAGAGGGAGAAGCAGGCCTCTGGCTGAGCAGGGAGCCCGATGCGGGGCTCGATCCCAGGACCCTGGGATCATGACCTGAGCCGAAGGCAGACACTAATGACTGTGCCACCCAGGCGCCCCTCGAATAATTTTTTTAAAAGATTTTATTTATTAATTTGAGAGAGACAGAGAACAAGTGGTGGGAGGGCAGAGGGAGAGAGAGAGAAAAGCAGGCTCCCTGAGGGAGCCCGATGTGGGGCTCCATCCCAGGACCCGGAGATCATGACCTGAGCCGAAGGCAGACGCTTAACTAACTGAGCCACCCAGGCTCCCCTTTTCTAGCAATTTTATACTTTAAATGTTATATATATAAGTTCTATTATACATTTTAAATTAATTTTATAAAGTGAGAGATTTAGCCTCAAGTTTTTTTGTTTGCTTATGTATTTTTGTCTGTGGGTGTCCAATTGCTCTAGCACCATTTTGAAAAGACTATCCTTTTGCATTGAATTGCCTTTGTGCTTTTGTCAAAAATCAGCTGAGCATATGTGTGGGCCTATTCCTGGGTTCTCTATTCTGTTCCATTGATTTATATGTCAATTTCTCTGCCAACATTACAATGTTTTAATTACTGTAGCTAAATCATAAGCCTTAATATCAAATAGAGTGATTCTTCTCACTTTCTCTCTCTTTTTCGAGTGTGTTAGCTCTTCTAGGTACTATGCCTTTCCATATAAATTTTAGAATAAGCTTGTCTATGTCTACAAAAAACCTTACTGGGATTTTGGCAAGAATTGCATTAAATCTATAGATCAATTTGGAGGGAACTGACATCTTTCCTAAGTTGAATCTTCTTATACATGAACATATTATGGCTCTACTTAATTTTATTTCTTTTATTAGCATTTTGTAATATTCAGCGTTCAGATCCTTTATGTGTTTTGTTAAGTGTATACACTGTATTTCATTTTCTTTATTAACAACTGTAAATAATATTGTGTTTTTAATTTTGGTTTCCATGTAAACTGTGTTACTATATAAAAACATCCATTTATTTTCAACCTACCTGTGTCATTAAATGTGAAGTGAGTTTCGTCTCGCTTCAAACACCAAACAAAACAAAACAAAACAAAACAATAGTTTAGAGTCACGGTTATGCTGTCTGACAAAGTACAACTTAGTAGCTTTGTGAGTCTTGATTGCAATGTTGTTTAGACATTTCTACAGGAAGGGGCAAAACCACATTAAGGATCAGATTCTGACGTTCAGGGATTATCAAGATTGTGCTACCACTGTAGTGAATTAACAAAAAGGAAACTGATCTTTATGAGAATCTCTAGCTGGGGTTTTCGATCGAAACTCCAGGCTTAAAGAGAAAATTCCCGTTCCTTCATCTCCATTCCCAGGGCGAGGTCACTCTCTGGCATCCAGTTTCTTGGGGGTGAGTTTTCTTTTAGAAGAGTCGGGAGGAGAAGTGAGTAGGAGTTCAGCTCAAGTCGAGGGATTCCAGGAACGGAAAGGGACAAAAGGGGGCTGATCCCAGCCTGGTGTCTCTCCCTGGTGTCTCTTCCAGAAAGACCCTGGGCCAGGCCTCAGGGAGACAGTGAGACAAAGAGCGCTCCGTGCAGGTGGAGAGGAATCAGGGTAAAGCCCGAGGCTCGTCGAAGGCCTGGCTCTGGAAGTCCCAGTCCTGAGAGCCTGGAGCGTCTGGGGCAGGGAAGCCCAGCCCCTTACTCTGCTTGTTTCTCTTCTTGCTCTCACAACCGGCCAGGTCCTCCCGTCTGGATACTCATGACGTAGTCCCAGCTCGCACTCCCATTGTCCGGTTTCTAGAGAAGCCAATCAGCGTCACCGCGGTTCCCGGCCTGTCCGTGCCACAGACCCGCCGGGACTTAGTTCCTCCAGACCCCAGGGATGCGAGTCGTGATGCCCCGAACCCTCGTCCTGCCGCTGTCGGGGACCCTGGCCGTGACCAAGACCTGGGCGGGTGAGTGCTGGGGCGAGAGGAAAAGGCTTCTGCAGCGGGAGCAAGGGGACCGCCCAGCGGGACCCCCGGGGAGGAGCCTCTCCGCTGCCCCCGCTCCCGGCCCCGCCCCTCCCCGCCTCCGCCCTGCTCTCCCGCCCTTGGTGCCCCTCCCCCTGCCCTCCCGGCCGCCTGCCCCTGCGCCCCGGCCACGCGCCGGGAGCAGGGTCGCGCGGGGTCTCAGCCCCTCCGCGCCAGCAGGCTCCCCCTCCCTGAGGTATTTCTCCACCGGCGTGTCCCGGCCCGGCCGCGGGGAGCCCCGCTTCATCATCGTCGGCTACGTGGACGACACGCAGTTCGCGCGGTTCGACAGCGACGCGGCGAGTCCGAGGATGGAGCCGCGGGCGCAGTGGGTGGAGCGGGAGGGGCCGGAGTATTGGGACCGAAACACCAGGAAGGCTAAGAACCAAGCACAGACTTGCCGAGTGAGCCTGCACACCCTGCGGGGCTACTACAACCAGAGCGAGGCCGGTGAGCGACGCGGGCTCCGGTCCCCATGGACGGGGCTGCGGGACCCGCCCGTCTCCCCGTCTCCCCACCTGGGAAGAGCCTTTACCCGCCTTTCAGTTTTGGCTTTAAGCCGTGGGGTTCGGAGGCGGGGACCCGGGCCGCGGGGCGGGGCGGGGCTGACCGCGGGGGCGGGGCCAGGGCCAGGGCCAGGGCCAGGGTCTCACACCGTCCAGTGGACGTCTGCCTGCGAAGTGGGGCCCGACTGGAACCTCCTCCGCGGGTACGAGCAGTTCGCCTACGACGGCGCGGATTACATCGCCCTGAACGAGGACCTGCGCTCCTGGACCGCGGCGGACACGGCGGCGCAGATCACCCGGCGCGAGTGGGAGGCGGCCGGTGTGGCGGAGCGGTGGCGGAACTACCTGGAGGGCACCTGCGTGGAGTGGCTCGGCAGGTACCTGGAGCACGGGAAGGAGACGCTGCAGCGCGGAGGTACTAGGGGCCGCAAATCTTCCACGATTTTCCCTCAGGCTGAGGCCTCCTAAGAGGATAGGAAGAAATGGGATCCATACCAGTATATGGCCCTCCCATGGGTCGGGTCTGGAGACTAACTTCGCCTGGGTTTTCAGACCTGGTACCAGAGTGGCCCTAAGAGTCTGCCTTTCTCTCCTAGGGAAGATTGAGGGTTACAGTCTCTCCAGGGATGGAGGACGAGACCATTTCTGAAATAACTGATGAGCGTTTCCCTTTGACTCACAGTGCCTTTGGGAACCTTGGGGGATTTTCTTAGGCTTTGTTCTCTGCCCCATACCTCATGTGTTTGGGGTCTGACTTTACCTATTCTGAGTCACTTGGCCTCCAGCCAGGCTAGGACCAGAAATTCCTTTTTTTCCTCACAGAAACGTGCCTCTACACTGGGCCATTTCACTCTAATTCTAGAAGTTTCCAAACAAGAAGAGATTATGTTTTCAGGCTGGTGTCTGGGTTATTGCTCTCTTTCCCTACCCCAGTTGTCCTGTTCATTCTCAAGATGGCCACATGAGAGCTGCTTCAGTGGACCAAGACAGATGTTAAGTTCCTGAATTTTCTTTCTTTTTTTAAAATTTTTTAATTTAAATTCAGTTTACTTAACATATTCTGTATTATTAGTTTCAGAGATAAAATTTAGTGGTTCATCAATTGCATATAACACCCAGTGCTCATTACATCACCTGCCCTCCTTAATGCCCATCACCCAATTATCCCTTCCCTCCACCCACCTCCCCTCCAGCAACGCTGTTTGTTTCCTAGACTTGAGTCTCCTATGGTTTGCCTCCCTCTCTGATTTCATCTTATTTTATTTTTCCTTTCCTTCCCCTATGTTTATCTGTTTTGTTTCTTAAATCCCACATATGAGTGAAATCATATGGTATTTGTCTTTCGCTGACTGACTTATTTCACTTAGCATAATACCCTCTAGTTCTAGCCATGTTGTTGCAAATGGCAAGATTTCATTCTTTTTGATGGCTGAGTAATATTCCATTGTATATATATACCACATCTTCTTTATCCATTCATCTGTTGATGAACATCTGGGCTCTTTCCATAGTTTGGCTGTTGTGGACATTGCTGCTATAAATATTGGGGTGCATGTGCCGCTTCAAATCACTACGTTGGTATCCTTTGGATAAATACCTAATAGTGCAATTGCTGGGTTGTAGGGTAGCTCTATTTCTACCTTTTTGAGGAAACTCTGTACTGTTTTCCAGAGTGGCTGCACCAGCTTGCATTCCCACTAACAGTGTAAGAGGGTTCCCCTTTCTCCGCATCCTCACCAACATCTGTTGTTTCCTGAATAGTTAATCTTGGCTATTCTGACAGGTGTGAGGTGGTATCTCATTGTGGTTTTGATTTGTTTTTCCCTGATGCCAAGTGATGTTGAGCATTTTTTCATGTGTCTTTTAGCCATCTGGATATCTTTGGAAAAATGTCTATTCATGTCTTCTGCCCATTTCTTGCCTGGAGTTTTTGTTTTTTGAGTGTTGAGGTTGATAAGTTCTTTATAGATTTTCGATACTAGCCCTTTTTCTGGTAAGACCTTTGCAAATATCTTCTCCCATTCTGTAGGTTGCCTTTTAATTTATCAGTTGTTTCCTTTGCTGTGCAAAAGCTTTTTATCTTGATGAAGTCCCAGTAGTTCATTCTTCCTTTTGTTTCCCTTGCCTTTGGAGACATGTCTAATAAGTTGTTGCGGCCAAGGTCGAAGAGGTTGCTGCCTGTGTTCTCCTCTAGGATTTTGATGGATTCCTGTCTCACATTTAGGTCTTTCATCCATTTTGAGTTTATCTTTGTGTATGGTATAAGAAAGTAGTTCAGTTTCATTCTTCTGCATGTGACTGTCCAGTTTTCCCAACACCATTTGTTGAAGAGACTGTCCTTTTTCGATGATGGATATTCTTTACTGCTTTGTTGAATATTAGTTGAATATATTGTTGAGGGTCCATTTCTGGGTTCTCAATTCTGTTCCATTGATCTATGTTTCTGTTTTTATGCTAGTACCATACTGTCTTGATGATTACAGCTTTGTAATAGAGCTTGAAGTCTGGAATTGTGATGCCACCAGTTTTGGTTTTCTTTTTCAACATTCTTTTGGCTATTTGCTGTCTTTTCTGGTTCCATACAAATTTTAGGAGTATTTGTTCCATTTCTGTGAAAAAGATGGATGGTATTTT